CCCCAAAACCCCAAAACCCCAAAACCCCAAAACCCCTTTAGGCGGCCTATCAATTGAATTCTACAATTTTTGAAAAATAACGTGGAAATTTAATATATCATAAAATTATTCAATAATGGCATCTAAGGAGCCTCCATCTTTCGCAACAACGAACTGTATCCCTTTATCCTTCAAATACTTATGAGTCCTGATCTTTATCACAGGCTTTCCCTTAGAATGCTTTCCTCTTCCTGTGATAACCTTCAAAATCAATCTTCCTTCTCCATTCACTAATTTTTGAGAATTGACCAATGCGACCTAAACCTTAACCTGCAACCTTACTCATTCCTCAATTTTATCCTTAAGAGCATCTACTGCTTCATCGACAGTCATAACATGTAAATCCAGGACATGGCCTTCCTCCTTAGAATTATTAGCTTCCATCTTAATATCAATAGACTGCTTCTTGTACATCTCATAGTATTTCCTTAACTTCCCAAGTTCAGTTTCCCAGTACGCTTGCCCAGCTAGGTCCTTGCTCTTCTGACATGTAAGGATGTGGCACTGTATTTTAGAGATTTGAGGGTCGAGAACGGTCCTGAATTCCTTAAGGCAGCTGAATAACTGGTCCTTTTCGGTATTGTTCAGAGGCTTATTTCTGGGGAATGTCCGGTGATTGGTCTATAGAATGAGTCGCTATTCTCATGAGCTTATGAGCAATATAAGTAAGGAAATTTAGTCTACCTTCTTGTGCTTTCTCTGAAGCTTCTTATCTCTCTTTCTTTTGTTCACAATCTCATTGGCTCAAATCGGCCTAACTTGAGGCAAAGAATTTGCTACAAAAAATTAGTTCCATGACTTTTGGTAAATAGTTCTGAATACACAAGTTCACTAATAATTGGGAATAAGACACAAGTTTGAAGGAGAGCTTACCATCTCTGATCTTGAGATAGCTTTGAAATTTATCTTCAAGTAGGTTCTTTGGTTGAGGAATTGGACTCGGACCCTTAGCCACAATCTTCTCATACTTCTCGTTGCTTATCTCAAGAGACTTCTCAATCTGGTCGAAATCAGGATACATGACCAATACAATTCACTCTATTCTTTGCTTTGGTACATTCGGAAATGATGTGCAATAAAATTCTAAATTAGGAGTAAAGCTTTATAACTTACCGACTAAGTCCTCTTGAATTCTTTCTATCTCCTCATGGTCTTCTTCAGAGGCGTGACTCTTATTATCTTTAACCTCAAACTTTGTTTCACTCTAAAAATGGGTAAAAATTTGATGATTTACCTGTTTTTGTGCTATTAACAACTTCTTTGCCTCAGGATTAGCCATAAGGCTTTCAATAGTTTCTTCTTCCTTTTCTTCTTCAAGCACAGTACGTTCCTTCTCAACTTTAGGGGCTGGATGTGCTTCTGTTTCTTGGACTTGCTCTTCAAGGAGCAATTTAGTTGATTCAAAATCATACTCACATAGCTTGAACATCCCTTGGACAAACTCCTGATCACACTGAGGGAACTGAGCTCCAAGGGAGTTTAGTTGTATCTTTCTCAGTTCTTTGATAGCTTCTTCTGGTGAAATTTGAAACATTTGTCGGCTTTCTTCCATGTTTTAGTAATAAAATCAATAAATTTAGCAAGCTCCGGGGTTTTGGGGTTTTGGGGTTTTGGGGTTTTGGGG